ACTTATAAGATCTCTATCTTATAATAAGAGAGCTTATAGATTAATTCTTAGAAGAGTTTCTACTCTTCTATTAAATCTATTATCAGATTCTTCTTATAGTAAGAAGAAAGCTCAGCTGTCTTTACTAAGCTGAACATCTCTATGAGATCTCAGTATTTCTCTAGTATCTGAAGCTCAGTTTTCATAACTGTGAGATTCTCAGATATTTATAAAGTCATTATATAGATGAGCTTGTCTTCTCTAATTAACTCTACAGTATCAACTGATTCTATCTTTATAAGTAAGTCTGTTAACACTGATTGAAAGTATAAACTTAACTTATGAACAGCTATATACAGATTATGTCTTTGAAGTTATATAAGTCTTAAGTATATATTATCTGTGATATCTGTGATAATCACAGTTTCTACAAATCTTCTTCAGATTTCAGAGAGATCTTGTAATTCAAAGATAACTCTTATAAGTTTCTCAGTTCTCAGATCTGAGTTCTTACATTCTACTTATTATAAGAGCAGATTCTCAGTTTTCATCATTTAACTTATTTACTCTATGAGCTTTAGAGACACTATAGTGACCTGAGATTCTGAGTTTATTAATACTTTTTATACTTGTGAGACAGCAGTACTATAACACAGTCTCTTCTTATAAGTAAGTATTTTTATTAAGAGAGTAACAGATTCAGATATCAGCTTTAAAACTCTTAAGAAGACTGTTACTAACTCTATCTATAACTTCTTAAATTTCTATTTTAATTTATCTGAACAGTTTGTACAGAGATATTCTAATTTAAAATAAATAAAGCAGAGTCTCTTTTTCTTCATCTCTCTATTATATACTCTATTTATAGAAGCTTATGAAGCTCTCTCTCTCTACTTAGTAGTCAGATATAAATCTCTCTATATTTTATTATCTTTTTCTAATAAATCTGTTCTCTGTTATTCTGACTCTTGTAGAGCTGATCAGTGATTTACTCTTTATAAATCTATAACTCTTATAGTAATCTGTAAGCAGTGAATAAGAGTTATCAGTTTCTTCAGAGTTAAGAGCTTAGAGTCTTACTTAATAAGCTTATTCTATATATCTTTATTCAGTCTCTTTATAAATATCATTATTCAGATGTTTCAGAGCTCTATTTTCACAGATCTTAATTTATATCATAATTTTATAAAGTACTGTGAGTAGTCTTTATCAGATTTCTCATCTCTTTTTCTAATATTAATGATTATAACTCAGATATTCTCTATCTAACTTATAAAGTTTCTTAACTTATTCTCTAGATAGATCTTAAGAATAAATCAGTAAGATCTCTTATAATCATTCTCTAGATAATTCAGCCAGTTCTTGACTTCAGTATAGTAGAGATCTATTATTATATAGATAACAGCTTTTTCATCTTTTATATCACACAGCTGAGCTTGTAAGTCAATTTTAAATACAAACTTATAAAAGCTTTTATAGATTGCAGTTTAATAAGTGATCTTAAGTAATTATAACTTAAGAAAGTTTCTTTTCAATTCACAGATATCTCTGAAGATTATATTTAGAGACTCAGTTCAAGAGTGTTTACAGACAGTAAGTATTTCTTATAGAAAAATAACTTAATTCTATGAAAGATACTCAAGAATATTCTTCACTGAGATTGATTTATTCATGAGTTTAAAGAGTTTCTCTGTCATAGATATAGAGAATGATATTCTGTAAGTAATTAATAAGTTCTCTGAGACTTCTTTTATAAGAGTTATTTATAATTCAGATAACTACTTCTAAGTGTCTGCAGTAGAGTTTGCAGAGATTAAAGTATATAAGTTTCTAGTTCTTTCAGTTATAATAGACAGTTACTGACTGACTGAGCTTGAAATATAAGAATAAGTACTCACAGATGATTATTCAGGTATTTACAGCTTGATATAATATATACTATTAACTACTAAAAGTATTCACAGTAGAAAGATAAAATATAGAGATTAAATATATAATAGTATTCAAGCTGAGTTATAAATAGTATTCATGAACTTCAGTCTATATAGTTGTATGTAGTCAAGAGCTGCTAGCTCTATTGATTACACAAGAGATAGAAATAGAGGTAAAGAATTCGTGAGAAGCGGGATTTCTTATAAATTCGCTGTTTCATCTTCAATTCAAAGCAGTTCAATACCTCAATTTGATGAATACTTCAATTGATTGACAAGGGAACAGTTGCTTCATATAAATATTGACAAGAATATATTTCAAATTATAAGAGATAAATTAAAAAGTTTATTATAATAGATAAAATTACAGAAATTCAAATTATTCAGATCTTATACTGCTTTCACTTTTAAATTTATATTATAATAAATTGTAATCTGAATCTTTTTAATTATTACAATACTATTCTATACAAGTAGATCTGAAATATTCTTTTATATCTTTTTCTCTTATAAAGTTCTTAACTGCATGATATAAAAAAGCTTCAAAATCTTTATTAAACTGAGTATTTAACTAACTCTTCAATTCTGATAAGATATCTGATATAATCTTTGACTTTATATCACATGTTAAACAGAGTTCTCTAGCAGTTTCAAAGCAGTGAAGATTTCATTGAATTTAATATACAGTAGTTAGATGATAATCAATGCTTCACACAATCTCAGCAGGTATATAATCATTCTTAAGAAGGTGTACAATCTTGTTAATGATGAAATCACAGAGTTGAGGTAACATATTGATGATAAAGGTAAGAAAGACATGTATTTGGATGATATTTGATTGAAAAAGACATGTATTGAATGATATTGAATGATTCTAGAGAAATGCAGATATTTTGATTTTTTGGTGGTGTTTTGCTACTAATTTTCAGGGGGGGCTGGGACAATTCTGTTTTCGCAAGTAATATGTCCGCCACAATATCTCATTCAGCCGTTGCTATCTAGTGGGCAAGGGGTGTCCGGTCAACCCAGATGGGTGAACATAATTGTATGTCCATCCCCACATTGCCAGGTATATCGTATAGGAGTGGCTAAGCAATGTTCAATGTGTATTTCTAGATAGTCGGTAAATAAACATGAAGTTGCAATCAGCGCAATAGGGAAAGAAGGAGAAAAAAAAAAAAAAAAACACCAACTACGGAAAAATAAACGCCGAAACGAACTCCATAACCCGCCGTGGGACTAATCATAGCAATGCAGTACCCCAGTTGTAGCTGATCAAGCACCTGTCTCGATACTTCTCGCCTGACCATCAAAACCAAAGGTACACGACCCAACCTCACCCCAGAGTGAAATAGAAACCCCCTGCCCCCATCAATCAATTCTCCACGTCTCCCTGCCTCTCAAGAAACTTCATAAAACCCCCCGAAAGCCTCACAAGCTGCCTGTAAACAACCTCAAACCCTTCTTTACCGCCATAATACGGATCCCCCACCTCCTCCCCGCCACCCACTTTCTCCACAACACTCCCATCCGGCAGAAAGTCACCCATAAGCCTTACCTGCGCAACGTGCCCATCCCCATCCCCATCCCCATCTCCCTTACCTCCCTTGCCACCTTTACCCCTACCCACAGCCCTGCCCCTCTCATGCATCAAGTCGTCCAAATTGTCCCCGTCCATCGCCAATATGTAATCGAACGCGAAGAAATCGTCCCGGCGGATCTTGCGCGCGGCATGCGTGTAGCTAGTGATACCGTGGTCGCGGAGGGTGGACATGGTGCGCGGATCGGGCTGGGAGTTGACGTGGTATGCGCCCGTGCCGGCGGAGTCGATTGTGGAGAATTTCGGCGCGGAGGGGGCTGTTGCTGCTGCGGTGGAGGTTATTTGGTGGCGAAAGATGGCTTCGGCCATGGGGGAGCGGCCTAGCTCAAGTGGAGGGGGGGGATGTTAGTATTAATAGGAAAGCAAGCGGGGAAAAGCCTTTGGGGGAATGGGGAGGGGGGCGTACAGATGTTTCCGAGACAAACGAAGAGGACGGATACCGGCTTTGAACCAGCGGGATTGGAGGAGGTGGTGGAGGGGTTATCCGGGGCCATTGTTGGAAATGGCTAACTACCAGATGTCTAACTTTCTTGTGTAGGTAGGTAGTACAGTACTGCGTGAGTTACTTTTGTGCTTTAGAACGCGGTGTCTGAGGCTGTGTTGAGTATGGTTGTTGCTGGCGGGGGTTTGACTGTGGTGGGTGGGGGGAGATATATACATGACGGAAAAAATTGTGCAGCTTGTTCTCGATATCTTACCTTATCAGATAAAATCATCAGGAAACATTGTGCGACGTTCAACACAATGAGAATGAGTGAGAGGAGGGTATTCAAAGAAAGGAAATAGCAATAATTCCAAATATCCAATTTTAAACTGTGTTGTTAAAAATGTTAAAATGGTCAGGTAATGGACACGAACGCATTTCTGTGCTAGAGGGAGGGACCACACATCTGAATCTACATGTTATCGATCTCAGCTGTATGTACTTTGTATGCTGGAGAGTCATTCAGGTCTCTGTCCTGATATACTAGCATAATCAAGTGCAGAGAAAATAAACAGAATAGACAATCAGAGACTGATACTGAAAGATAGAACAGAGGTAAGCAGAGTCTTTAATTTAGTAATTAAGCTATCTCACACATGAGATATAAGCAGCTGAGTTCAACAGAACAATCTGATAAACAACACTCATTCATCAACACTGACAACAGCAAGTCATACAATGACAGAATTTTGTCACAAATTATCGCTGAATATTCTTTCAGTATGCAACTCAATTAAGCTTTGACAGACTTTAAGCATGTCTCTCCAGTACAGGTCTAAATGAAGGAATTCTGTGGAAAAAGAAGGGATTTTAAGGTGGAAAAAAGCAACTTAAATAAATATCAATTTGACTTTCTGTACTTTGCCTGAGACAATGTCGCTCAGGATGGCAACTCTGTAAATTTAACAAAAACCTTTTGCCTCATTCCTATCAATATTTTCAACAATTTTGTGGATTCACCCTACGTTCATGGTTTGGACTTTAATAATTATGGCCCTTCAACGATCTACAAATAGGCAGGTGATATCAATGGAGCTCTTGGGCCCGGAATCAAATATGCTAAGCAAACAAGGATGAAACGGCGAGAACTGAAGCAAACAACTCTGTCGACATCTTCTCTAAACATTGACATGGTGTGGTGATAATCGGTTTCGTCTTTGACGTGGCATCCAAACTCCAGCATGTGCTATAGAATCTGGTGAGGGAACTAAGTCAGGAAAGCTGTACCTTGCCGTAGCTGTCCGCGAAACAAAATCAGACGCGGAAGACAAAGTGACATTTTTTGGAACTCAATTATTATCAATGCTGATACTGGATTACCATACATACATCTTTTAGCCCTAATCTCTCCTCAACGCTGTTTTACCATTCAGACGCTACTCTGGACGTCTGCCCCTGTTATCGTAGAGATATGCCCGGTCCAGCCATTGTCGTTACAGGGTCGTTTGATGCCCACCCCATGAAGTGACCTTTTGAAGGATCCAACTCGCCTTTGCTTCGGGCGCCGGTCTATGTCGGACCGGTGAAAGTCTATGATCAGAACCCGGCGCAGTTCATGATTCCATAACATGTTGGCAGGCCGCAGGTCCTTATGCACCACTCCCAGCATACGGATTTCCCTCACTGACTTGGAGATTTCATCATTTAGCGTCGAGACTTTGACTTTGTCTATACTTTCCCCAGCCCAACCCATGAGAAGCATATGGCGGATGTCCCCAGCACCATGAATAAAAAGGACCAGTTTCAAATCAATCATCCCCAGGAATACAGGGACAGCAGAACCCTGTGCTTTCTTAAGAACCTGGTATACTTCTGCTTCACATGAGACATGTTTCCATAACCCAGATGTCGTCCCCTTTCCAACAAGAGTTTAGCCATATGCAGCACAAGTGATTTTTATTGGTGCACCATACAACCCACAAATCCCAAATGGTGTGCAGTTATGGTCAAGATCACAATCAAGCTGTGCTTTCAGTAGTTGCACAAGCTTTCTTGCATCAATAGGATGGTGATCACCATTCTGACCTTGCTGGTGAAGAGAAACATTAGGACATTGATGATCCAATTCACCTCCCTGTTGCAAACTCAACAAGCATCGCTGTGTACAGTAATGTGTTGTGTGTTGGTGCTGGCCGCTTGATGGGCGAGGACTAGGACCTGCTGAACGTGCCGATGAACGCTGGCTGGGCGGACAGGACATCACTTGGCTAAAGCCCCGCTTCCGGCCGTGCGATGCTGGGCCAGAGTCGGAGTCAGAACTATCTATATGGTCACTCTGCAGTGAAGTGTCTATTGGTGCACAGGTGGTTCGAGATCGGGTGGAAACTCGACGGCCGGGCTGTAATGGAGATGATGGCAGACATTCAGAGAGCACATATTCTGAGCTTGGGTATTCTAATTCTGGAGGAGTTTGTTGCAGCTCATTATTAGGAATTTCAGACTGTGTAGAATCAAAACTTGAGATCCATGTATTGAGCTGAGATCTTGCCGCATTCCGCCACTCCTGATTACGGATATCTGAGAGGAAGCACATCAGACAGAAACATAATATTCTGGCAACAGCTGTCTTTGACTGAAAGACCTCAGAATTTTCTGAAGTCACATCTGTGTTTGGTTCACAGAGATAGTAATAGAGTGTACTAGGGTCATCATATGAAATATGAAGTAGAATGATAGCAAGTCCAGTAGTTATGTAGGAATACTCAAGTCCATGTTGAATCATGACATGATACTTCTGAACCAAGACTGAGCCAGTCAGCTGTTCTGCATGATATCTCAGCTTTTCATCCTTGGCCTTGTCAGGAATTGTGTCTGACTGAACAATGTGTTCCCAGAACCTCATCGATCGAAGACCCATTTGGAGATTTTCAACTGAGAGCTTGTGTGGTGGCTTATACTCGACTGTTGTAATCAAGGTATTGGTGGAACCGTTGATTTGATGAATACAGAATGAATCTGGTTTGAGGTTCCGTGAGCTGGATTCATCAATCAGCTGTACATCCGACTCTTCTGACTGTAGAAGATTTCCATGATTTTCAAACATGATCCCATCGCCAAGCCGGAATCTCTCTCGGGCATCAGGTATTTTGCATAGCTCGGCTATGATATCATGGACGTGATCTTCCACCGCACCTCGCTCATAGGCCTTCAGATCCTTCTCACTCGTAGTTTTTGACTAGAATACCGCCGACCAAGTCCATCCAGCTCAAGAAGAGATGTGAATAGCTGAGGTGCATCTCTTCCAGTTGGTTGAAGATAAGTGGAAACTGCATTGTAAGTTTCTTGCAGTTGACCCGGACAGCTTGACCAAAAGCGAAGATTTGTTGGACAGTATTTCCCAGTGGGTGGCAGGATAGCCCCCTTTGTGGAGTGGGATGGCGTTCTAACCTGCAGAGGCTGGGAGAATGAATTATGACAACCCTTGATGAGCTCTTCGAATGTTGTTGGCTGACTGCGCTCCTCTGCCTGCCTTCGCAACTCTCTTTCCTCTCTCTCTCGCTCCTCTGCCTGCCTTCGCAACTCTCTTTCCTGTCTCTCTCGCTCCTCTGCCTGCCTTCTCAGCTCCACTCTATGGAAGAGAGCCTTGTAATCCTGTGAACTGTTCTCAGCCATTAGATAGGGATAAAAGAGTCACATCAAAAAGTGAAATGGGTAGCAAAGATTTAGTGGTGAGAATGGAGATTTTGGATGGTGATATGATATGGCGTGGTGGCGCGTGGTGGGAACGAGAAATAAAACGGGGTAACGTAACACGGCAGAAGTCGCGTCACCTATGTTACCAGGCCCTAGAGATTAGTAAGCTACCGCTCACCTGCAATGTTATTATTTAATATTATTATTAGAGGTAGGGGGTAGAGGTAGGGGGTAGAAGTGGTAGGGGGGGTTGCGGGGCGGTAGAGGCGGTGGTGGTGGTAGAGGAGGTAGGGAGTGGAAGGGGTGGAACAAGCAGCAAAGCGAGCGTAAGCGAGCATTTGATGCTTGTATATATATATATAAGACAAAAAACATAAACATACGAAAGCCCGGATTCGCTGGTGGTCACCCACCCAACTACTAACAGGCCGGTGAGTGGCTTGAGTACGGCTGAGCGGACGGGAAGCCCTATTTTCCACTCCCTATGTTCGTATGTGCTAGGAAGAAGGAGGAAAGAGGGTTATATGCAGCAGCGGAAGTGTCAAGCTCGGCGGAGCAACCATAGGTCCCCCCACAGATTGGATACAATAAATGAGGCTGTATTTGATTAACCGGTCGTGATCCAGATCTCCCCGGTAATAGATTCCGAACCATTGTTCAGCATTTCTGAACCACGTATACTCTGTACCATTTTGAAGAAGCCAGAGTCAGGAACAGAGAGATACCTCATTCCCTGTGGAACCGTGGTAACTGCAGAGTTGCGAGAGGGTGGATTTAACTCCGCTTGGTTTCATGGCATTCAAGGCAAGCTCGGGAGGCATGCGAACGACCGGCGGCCAGTCACTACCTAGTACCTACTACTGTCTAACCAACCGTGGCAGCGACTGAGCCACGACGGACTGATGCAGTGTGGAGTAGTTAGCGGGTTGCGTCACGACTCCAGTAGGCGCCATGTTATTTTTAGACTGGATCTAATAAGCCAAGAATCGCCCTCTTGTAACTGTGGCTGTTTGCTCTTGTTTGTTTGGGTTGTCGGTGGCTTCATATTATTTATTATTATCAATAATAAAACTTCCCTGCTTGAGTCTGCCCGGCTGTCCTTCATCGCAGTTTTCACACTCTTTCTGGCAGCTCAGCTTGCATTTTGCATTGCGCTAAATAGCCAGCCCTGCCAACATTTTTCTCTGACTTGAACTTTTTGTTGAATTCTCCGAGTTTTCTGTCTTTGAAGCAGATTCTTTCCGACGAAAAACGTCATCGTCCACTAAACAATCTTCGCTCAACACTGAACCGACGAATCTAGCACTGAGGAAATACTCTGCGCATAGCATACCTTGTCCTGCCAAGCTAATATACTTGACGCTTGTCAGTTCAGCCTTCCGGGAGTACGTATTCCTCCCGCTCAGGGAGCCCTTGAGAGCTGAAACACGCGGAGCAATCGAGGATCCGGAGCTGCATTGCTGGTCTTGCTACTCGAGGAAATACCGTAAGAGGAGAGAAAAGGGAAGATCAGTATGACATACAACCGACTCGGTGAGTGATTCGTCCTGCATCTCTGTTGTTGCTTTTGCAGTGGATAGAGTTCCTCATAAGCTTGGAACCTTCCCTTTATTTCCTTATCGTCCCTCGGTGCATCTGAAACGTGACCAGCAGAGCCGCGCAATCACCACCTCAACCAGCCTTCGCACCGTCACTGCGATACCTTCTCTTTAACACTTTCCCCCTCAACTATCTATCTCCCAGTTACTGTGCTCTCTCGGCTGTCTACCGCAGAGCTTCATTTCTCTTCATTCCACCTGCTCCTTCGTTTGATTGAGCTCCCCTCGTTCAATTTGTTCTTTTACCTCGCATTCGTTGGTGCAAGTTACCAAGCTGCGCTCTCATTCCTGTCACTAGCCCGCCATTCATTTTACACCACACAGCTCTTTACACCACACAGCTCTTTTGCTATGTGCCAACTAGATACATGGGAACACAAAGCTAAAACAGACTGAAATTAACCATCTTTTCAAGACCCTTTACACGACGACGATCCACATGACGTCGGAATGAATCCCAATCGACTCGACCCTAATCGCACCCCGTCTCCTGGCAGGCCGCTTCAGGGCTACCAGCTGGAGGACAATCCATATCGGCAATATGGCCACCTGGAAATGCCTTCAGTGGACCGCCTGGCTGACCAACCAACTGTAAATCACCCACCCACCCACATATATATACATTATATATCTCCCTCCCTCCCGCTTCAGATTCAGGGCTACCCACTAACTACTTTGCCATTAAAAAGTACTCCGTAGAGAATATCGACAACTCCTACGGTCATAACGAAGCCTACGAAATCGCCCATCCTTATCGACCTTCCCCTATTGCGCGCACAGAGTATACGATCTCCCCCGAAGCTCATCATGACGCATACTACACCCAGCCTTACCAGCCCACTACCTCCCCATCTGACTATGACGGGAACCGATTTCCTTCGCAAACTCCACAGCCATATCAAGACGACCAAGTGCCCATGCTACAGCATCCAGATAATCCATACAGCCCGAATCCTCAGTTAACGGAATATAATGACGAAGAAACCGCCATTGCCCCTACTCCCAGTCCCGCCCCCATACGAAGATGGAAGACAGTGAAAGAAGTCCAGTTGTTCAACGGTAATTTGGTCTTGGATTGCCCCATCCCACCAAAGTTGCTGAGCCAGGTAAACCATGCAGCTCCCCCAGAGCGCGATGAGTTCACTCACATGCGCTACTCTGCCGCCACTTGTGATCCGGCCGACTTTTATAATGAGCGCTTTACTTTACGCCAGAGACTATTCGCTAAACCCAGGCACACGGAGCTGTTCATTGTGGTCACCATGTACAACGAAGATGATTTTCTCTTCGCCCGCACCATGATTGGCGTGTTTAAAAACATCGAGTACATGTGTTCGCGGACTAATAGTAAAACCTGGGGCAAGGAGGCATGGAAGAAAATTGTTGTCTGCGTTGTCAGCGACGGACGTGCCAAAATCAACCAGCGCACCAAGGCTGTCTTGGCCGGGTTGGGCGTTTATCAAGATGGCATTGCCAAACAGCAAGTCAACGGCAAAGACGTCACTGCGCACATCTACGAATATACCACACAGATCGGTATGGAATTGAAGGGCAACCAAGTCCATTTGAAGCCGCGATCAGGGGTTCCCGTTCAGATGATTTTCTGCCTGAAGGAGAAGAATCAGAAGAAGATCAACTCCCATCGATGGTTCTTCCAGGCCTTTGGCCGTGTTCTTGATCCCAACATTTGCGTTCTTCTCGACGCTGGAACCAAACCGGGTAGGGACTCTATCTACCACCTGTGGCGCGCTTTCGACTTACACCCCATGTGCGGTGGCGCCTGCGGAGAGATCAAAACTATGTTGTCTCATGGGAAAAAACTGATCAACCCGCTCGTCGCCGCGCAGAATTTTGAATATAAAATGAGCAACATTCTCGACAAACCACTGGAATCTGCCTTCGGGTTTATTTCTGTGCTTCCTGGTGCATTCTCCGCCTATCGATATGTGGCCTTGCAGAACGACAAAAACGGCCAGGGACCCTTGGAGAAGTACTTTGCCGGTGAGAAGATGCACGGCGCGAACGCTGGCATCTTCACGGCGAATATGTATCTAGCAGAAGATCGGATCCTTTGTTTCGAGCTCGTCGCTAAACGCAACTGCCAATGGATCCTGCAATACGTCAAATCATCCACGGGCGAGACCGATGTCCCCGATCGGATGGCGGAGTTCATTCTCCAGCGCCGTCGCTGGCTAAACGGAAGCTTTTTCGCGGCAGTATATTCCATTGCGCATTTCTACCAAATCTTTCGGAGTAATCATAGCACTACGAGGAAATTTATGTTGATTATTGAGTTCATTTATCAGACGATTAATATGTTATTTGCATGGTTTGCTATCGTAGGTTTTCCCCTCCTCTTCCTCCTCCTTTATGGGAGTGGTTTATCGATCTTTATACACGGCTAACCCTTTTCCGTAGGGCAATTTCTACCTTGTCTTTCATATCCTCACCAAATCTCTCGGTGCCGAAAATTTACTAGGCGAGGTTGGGCGTATCCTCGGAGTTGTTTTCGAATGGCTCTACCTCGCAACGCTCATGACATCCTTTATACTTGCTCTAGGAAATCGACCACAGGGCTCCAACAAGTTTTACATGACGATGGTCTATTTCTGGATCGGTATCATGATCTACTTGGCATTTGCCGCGATTTTCATCACAGTGAAATCGATACAGGCCGAGACGGCAGATGGGAATTTTAGTTTCTCGTCCGTTTTCAGTAATCGCCAGTTCTTCTCGATGATCGTGTCACTCATGTCGACATATGTGCTATGGATTGTCGCGTCGCTGCTGTTCTTTGATCCGTGGCATATGTTAACTTGCGTAAGAACCGTGCTCCCTCTTAACAACAAGGGCGGAAAATTTAAAGAACTTCCACCAGGCTAACTATACTAGTTCCTCCAATACATCCTCCTTACCCCGACCTACATAAACGTCCTAAACATCTACGCCTTCTGCAACACCCACGACATAACCTGGGGTACAAAGGGCGACGACAAAGCCGAGAAACTCCCGTCCGCCAACCTAAAACCCTCAGGAAAAGTCGACGTGGCCATCCCGCAGGACGACGGCGACCTAAACGCCCAGTATGAAGCAGAACTCGCCAAATTCGCCTCAAAGCCGCCCAAGGAAGTCCGCGCGATTTCCGAAGAGGACAAACAGGAGGACTATTACCGCGGTTTCCGATCCGCGGTTGTTCTTGTGTGGATCTTCTGTAACTTTGCGCTTGCGGCGGTTGTGTTGAGTGCGGTTGGGTTGGAGCGGATTAATCCGGACGATACCTCGGGGGAGCAGAGGAGCACGATATATATGGCTGTGGTGTTATGGAGTGTGGCCGGGTTGTCGTTGTTCAGGTTTGTGGGGGCGATGTGGTTTTTGATTGCGAGACTGGTGAGTTTTACATTTCTCTTTTCTCCTTCTCTCTCTCCCCTTTTTCTCCTTCCTCGTAGTGTACCCCGGAGGTGTTATTCCCCCCCCCCCCCCCCCAAACCCACTTTTCTCGCGTTATGGATTGATATGTGCTAACCGCTCCCCGTTTTTCCTTTCTCTTCTAATCACAGTTCCGCGGCGTGTGAGAGGACAGGACCTTCTCTCTCTCCCGTGTTTTATATCTTTTATATATATTTCTTTTTACAAGCAAGCAGCAGGACGGAGACTATATACCGAACACTCCCACAGGGCCTTCTCCCCCTCGCCTCTTTTCCACCTCCCATCTGCCGACGACGTGGCCACAATAACTCAGCCGCGCGACGACCGGCTATGAAAACCCGAGGATATCATCCTGTTATTATAGTTTTGGCGAGACAACTAAAAAACGGAATCGATACGACCAAAACCAAAATAAATACCTCTCCTTCGAACCGTTTTTGTTTCCATTATCTTACGATTCCCCACCTCGTCCAGAATTTTTCTTACTCTTATCTGTTGTCATTTCCAATATACCAAAATACTCCCTCTAGTGGCTGATTTGTTTTTCTCCTTTGTGTGTGATGCGTGGTGCTGTACGCAAACTGTTTTACGGAACATGTGTATGCGAAAACGGAAATGAATGGGAAAGGGAATGAGAATATGTCATCATGGAACTAACCCTGTGCGTGCATCCACGTACAATACATCTTTGATTTTAGCCTGTTAATTCTTTTGGCCATTTTATGAGAATTTTTGGTTTGTCTTTCCTTCCTTGATTGTTGATTGTTTAAATTTTTCTTGGCCTCGGTTTCTTTAGGTTTGCGAGCGATTGATATCCCCGGCACATATATCTATATATCTCGCTATTCTCCATGTTTGTTTCACTTTTTCACTTTTTTTTCTTGCTGTCTCATTTTTGTTGCCCTTTTTCTCAATGATGCGGATGAAACGACTGTTATGTGCGTGGAATGCTATTTTTGTATGTGGTATGTGGTATGTGCTATGAAGGCCTTCAACGCTAATATCCTTAATGCCTGGATTGATTACAATTCTACATTTTCATGTATGCATATGGCTTTTTAAGAGTGAGAAAGGGGGAGAGTGCGTGAAAGTGTATGTGTATATGTAAAGAATATGTTTGTATTATTTCATCAAATACTGCTGTAGATAGATTAATGATGGCTGAGAATGAAAACAGTATTAATGATAACTAGACAATTAGTTTTAGAAACACAATGAAACAATACAGTATACTGTACACTCAAAACCCACCAAAAAGAGCATAGAGTATGGCAATAAATGAATAAATGAATGATATTTGGTGGATATCACTGCATCTTGGAATGGACACACAGCGCAATCCCACCCAGCACCATAACCATACCGAGCCACGTTGCTTCCAAAGGAAACAAATCAGCAGCACCAAGGTTAGCGAATCGTAAGTCGTAACGTAGGAGCAAATATTGAGAGGGGAGTGTGGTTAAAATAGTTAATCTGGTGGACTCACACTTGGATATCACCTTGCCTTCAACATACCACTCGCCAAGCACGGTGAAGAGGAAGGCCATTGAGTTTGTGATGGGGACGGTGAGACTTAGTTCTGTGAACAGAGTAGAAAGGTCAGCTAGGGCGGGGGATGTCGTTTGTTTATCCAAGGTAATATATATATATATATATATATTGAATGTAAGCAACGGAATTAATACATACCATGCCTCCCAACCAACAGAAAAAACCACACACTCCCCGTCAGATTCATCAGCAGCGGCACCGTATACCCCGGCATCTGCAGGAGATTCACAACAGTCCGGCACAGCGAGAGAACCTTTCTCGTCACCCATGAACCAGAGCTAGAGCTAGGGGCGACATCCTCCCCCGCCGTCTGCTGCTGTGCTGTTTTCTGCTCGTTGCGCGCATTGAAATCGACCGCAGCGCGCCGGATGAAGGGTGTTGTAAAACCCCACGCGACGCCGACGAGGAGGAAGCTGAGGATGTAGTTGAAGGCGCTTGGGGGGGTGTCAGTAGTGTTCATTGCATCCATTTTCATTTGCGTGTGCTCTAGAGTAAGGAGTTGGGATCATTATTAATAATTATTAACTACAGTACCAACCAACCTCCTCTATCTATTATTAATAATTGATATTCTATTAATGCGCTCCAAATAAGCTCGACGCTAGGACCTGCGCCACGGTTGGAGCCAAGCCAGGAACCGGCGCTTGAAAATAAAAAAAAACCTTACTAGCAACATTAACCAACTATATTATATAAAGTCCGCAGTTCCACTTTTGTTAGGGCTTGAGTTACCGCGCGCACAATATTATTTATTATTCAATATTAATATTTGCAGCAAAAACAAAACGCGCCGGACTGCGCTTCCTCGCCAGCAGCAGCAGCCGGGCTAGCTCAATCGGTAGAGCGTGCGGCTCTTATGTCAGTCACAACAGCGTGTGACCGCAAGGCTGCGGGTTCGATCCCCGCGTTCGGCTCTTGGTTGGTTTTATTTTTTTTATGTTTTCTAAAATATAACGAACGACCTCATTTCATTTCAGTTTTATTTACTATTTTATATTCTGTCTTTGGGTGAGGTATATAGATAGATAGCTTATTCGCATCAACAGTCAATTGCTACGATTCAAGATTCTAGTTAAGGTAGTTTGTTGGTTTAACTGTCTATCCCGAGGCCCTTGAAGGCTAGCTAGCAGGCATGATGCCGCCTAGAACTAAGTAAGCTGGGATGCCGAAGACCTTGATGTGGGGTAAGGAAGAGCGACAGACTATTTATTTATTATCTTCATAACTAAGTTAATCCTTACAAACCTGATCAATCAATGCCTGTAGAAAGAACTACATCAGCCATTTCCAGAAAAATAACCACACACCAAAAAATAAATATAAACAAATGGACCCCCAAGAACCCCCTGTCTTCCTCCCCTCCGCCCCTCCACAACCTCTCCGCCAGAATGTGACTCTCCAGCCCCCGCTATCGCGCCGTGGGCATGGGCCGGGACTCTTCCTGTTGCTTCCAAGTAATATAGCCCTGGATAAAACCACGGAAACGCTGGATCCCCCACCTCCCCAGAAATGGGCGGAGGAAGGGTATGCGGTCGTCGAGGTGCGGGTGCCAATGACGGTGCCAGCGGACGCGGATGCAGATGCATCTGGATTTTCTGCTCTTGGTTCTATACAGCTGGGTCTGGAGGCGTTGAAGGGGTTGGCGGAGTGTGATGTTAAGGATAGGTTTGGGGTAATTGGTGAGCGGAGAACATACATAGTTTTTGATTTGCTATTATTATGATGCATCCCCCTTTTTTTTAAAAAAAAAAAAAAATCTAATTGAAATATAAAATAATACAGTATACGACGCGAACATCATCAGCAATGAAGATATCGCTGCGTTCTCAACTATCCCAGAAATCGCCGGGATAGTCGCGTATGGCGCGGATGTTGTTACGAGTTTGACCCAAGCGGCAAAACCACTATTACTCCATCTTCCCGGCAAAGACAGAGGCACCACGACTACCACCACCACCACCGCCACACAGAAAGATAATCTAGTAGCCATCCACAAATACCCAGATGCAAAATCCCCCAACTTCGTCATCCCCCAGCACGCTGACTTCATCCCCTCAGCAGCGGCGGTAGCCCACACGCGGACCCTGTCGTTCTTAAAGAGCAAGCTTGGCGGCCCGCTCTTCGACCTCGAAGCGATCTGGGATGAGCACACGTACTTTGAATTCGGCGACCGGTCTGTCGCTAAAACGATGGCGACGATGGTTCAGGAGCCGTATGTTAATCATGTTCCGACAGTGAGTTGAGATCTTTTTCTGTTTTTGCCAGAGAAATAGATCTAGATCTAGAATTATCCCCTAATTTATGAAACGAGGAAAAAGAAAAAGAACCTCTCTAACACAAAGCGGTTGCAATAATATAGATGACAGGCGGTATCGGCCGCGACCGCCTCACCACCTTCTACCGCCACCACTTCATCTTCAATAACCCAGACGACACCCACCTCGAACTGATCAGCCGCACCGTCGGTATCGACCGCGTCGTCGACGAGTTCATCTTCAGCTTCACGCATGACAA